TGCTTGCTTTTTGCCTCTTGACCAGATAACTAGAACTATCTGCATTATCTATGCAGCATGGGGTTTTTATTATTTTTATCTAAAGACATCTCTTTAAAAAGCCTGCTTTTTCTCAATACACCTTTAAAGGTTTTTAAATTGTTTCATATCTGGTCAAGTTGAGGTTTTTAAGAACTTCATTTTTAATTTGTAATGAAAGTTTACAACTTGATTTTTTCAAAAAAGTCAACAAACTGCAAGCACCTATTCATAAAGGTCTTAAATAATTGTCAAAAAAAATTATGATATGTGGAAAGTGCAAGGAAACTCGTATTTTGTTTTGATTTTAAGTTTGGCCTCCTTTGCATCAAAGAGCTTCTTGGGTTGTTTTTTGTTTATTTGTTTTTAATGTATTTGGTACAGGATCTCACTACAAAGCTCGGACTTGTAGTGATCCTCCTGTTTTTAGCCCCCCCAGCACTGAGATTACAGCACTCTGTGGCCATTGTGGCATGTGGTGCTGGGGATCAAACCCTGGTCCCTGTACTTGCCTAAGCAGGCACTTAGTCCACTGAGCTATTTTGCAGTCCCTGGAAACTCAAGTTTTACAAAATTTATAGGTCAGACTTGGCAGTGCACCCCTGTAATAATCCCAGCTCTTGGGAGACTGAGGCAGAAGAGCATTGCGAGTTTGAAACTAGCTTGGGCTACCAAGTGAGCTCAAGGATCCTGTCAAGAAAAAAAAATTATATACATTGGATTTATTTTGTTGTTGGAAATTAATTAAATTCCTGTCTATATTCTGTCTCATCATATATTTGTCATATAAAAAGTGTCTCAGGCAGTGGGTACAGTTAATGTTTGCCTTGCATGTGCAAAGCCTGGCTTCCATCCCCAGTGCCAGGAAAACAAAAAAAAAATCACTGTGATTTTCCTGTTTGTGACCCCTCCCTGAAAATATTCAGCTTGGTCTTCCAAAAATTGATGGCCCTGAAGGATGAAACCCAGATTCCTGCTGAGCATGGTGATACATGCTTGTGATCCCAATGCTTAGAAAGCTGAGATGGGAGGGTCATCAGTTTGAGGACAACCTGCACTGCCTAGTGAGACAGCCCCATCACCATCACCATTAAAAAGAAAAAGGGAAACCCAGACTCCTTAGCATGTTGAATCCACCCAGACTTTTGACTAGCCTCAGTCCCTGCAGGCTGTCCTGCTTCTGGTGTCTTCCCTGAGTTTGACTTCATTACCCCATAGAACTTGTATTGTTTTCTTGGTGGATATGGTATGCTACTTTATTAATACAACAGGGGTCTTGCACATGCTCTCCTCTGCCAGGAAGAATTTCCCTTTGATCTTCTTGACTAGGCCTTTCCTCATTGTGTTGGAAGTAGTCATTCTTCCCTGTGAGTTTCCGTGGTGCTTCAAGATTCTGTTGCATGCTGAACAGTTGCATCCCTCCCTGCTGTGAGCTTCTCAAGGGCTGGGAGGAAGCCATACCCATCTTTTTATGCCACTACAGAGCTTAATGTAGGTAGACACTCATTAAATAATGGCCTGGTGGGTAGATGGACAGATGGGAAGGTGGGTGGAAGGAAAATCTAAGCCAGAATCTTGATGTACTTCATAAACATTTTAACTAGTTAGGTGCCTTGCTGACAGAGAATTGGAAACTTGATTTTTTTGCTTTCTAAGTAAAGCAGCCATTAATTTAGCCTCAAGACTAGCCCATTTTTAACCATGCAGGAAACAGCAGTTATATCAAGACTAATCGAAGGAAGGTTTAAAACAAATGGCCACCCTCCTCTGTTGTTTTGTTTTTTTTTGGGGGGGGGTTGTTTGTTTAAATTTGTTTTGTCTTTTTGAGACAGGATCTCACTGTGTGGTTCAGGCTACTTTGAGCTCACTTTATATGCCAGGCTGGTCTCAAACTCTCAGTGACCCTCCTGCCTCAGCCTCCTGAGTGCAGGGATTATAGGTGAGCTCCACCATGCCTGGCACCCTCCTCGGTTCTAGAGAAACCATCAGCAGTCTAGCCAGAAGAACAGGTTTACCTGGGCAGAAAGTTACATCTTTTCCTATTTGGCCTGCAACTGTGTGTGACTCCAAACCTTAGTTTGTTTGACTTTGTATGTCATATTTTCTCATATGTCATGGGAACTTAATGCCAACTCTCATTTGTATTACTAGTGCGCAGCTTTGTCATGGATGTAGTTTGTAAACTACCATTGTGTCAGAATAGAACCTTGCTGGAGGAAGCTGCTTCATTCCTCTTCTGAAGTCTAACCTACCTTCTGGTGTTATTTTCTGCCTTACATTAACTCTAGTACCAGTGTCTGGTGCCTATTCTTTTTTCTTCCTTTTTTTTTTTTTTTTTTTTTCTTTCAGTAGTGAGGATTTCTGCATGCTAGGCAAGCACTTCCACTGAGCTATATCCCAGCCCCATAACCTTTTTTTTTAATGAGTCTGTTTACTGTCAGAGTAAAGGGCGTCCTTGTTTGCAAGCCTTCTATTCTATAACCCACTAGTTCTCCCTTTTTAAGGTATACTTTTAAGATATCTGACCTGCCAGTCTCTGAGCTCTTCACCTTGACTGTCACCAGGAGCAGTTACAGTGCACTGTCTTGTGATACTTGTTATGTTTAACTTGTTTTTGATTTATCATCTCCATGGTGAAGGCAACAGAAAGAATGAGTGAAAGTAGGCAGCATTCATTTAACTTTTAGCAAGCCATTTCTAAAAGCAGACATTGTATGTAAAACTCTGAAAACCTATGGGCCCTTTATTCTATTTCATTTAATGGGAATTGAACACAGGACCTTAAGGCCTACTCTTTTTTTATGTATTTAGCACAGGGTCTACAGGGTCTCACTACACAGAACTTGTAGTGATTCTCATGTTTTCAACCTCCCAAATGCTGGGATTATAGGCACACATCATCACGCCCAGTCTCAATTGCCATCTCAGCATACCCAGAGAGCGGGGCCAGCACAGCACACCAAGGGTGGAACCACTGTCCCTGGTTCTGCCTAAACTGGCGCTTTAATCCACTGAGCTATCTGGCTGGCCTTTGAACACAGGACCTTATGCATGGTAGGGTAGCACTGAGCTAAACCCCGGCCCACTTTTTTTTTTTTAATGTATTTTAGTACAAGGTCTATAGGATCTCACTACATAGATCACACTTGCAGTGATTCTCCTGTTTTTAACCACCCAAAGTGCTGGGATGGCTTTATTTTTTATTTTGACATAGGGTCTTGCTAAATTATTGTAGTGATTCTCATGTTTTCAACCTCCCAAATGCTGGGATTACAGGCACACATCATCATGCCCAGTCTCAATTGCCATCTCAGCATACCCAGAGAGCGGGGCCAGCACAGCACATCCAGGCTGACCCCAAACTCATGATTGTCCTTTCTCAGCATCCCAAGTAGCTGGGATTACAGCCTTGGGCTAGAACCCATTATTTTAAATAGAAGAATTACATGATGATATCAGCCACAGACTACCAACCCATTTTCTTAAGAAGTCATTTAAACTCAGTAAAATGTCTGTAAGTAGCATAAGAATGAATGTAAGATGCTTTAAGCTTTACTTCCTGATCACTGGTGATTAATAGGGTTGTTGCAAATCATTTACTTTATGTGCAGTAGTACAGCATCTCTGCAGCCATGCTGGAAAGCCAAGGAGCCTTGCGCACTTGTTTAAAAATATTTCCATGCAATTCTGATGTGGCATGTAGCTGAAGATGTTTCCATGTGATTTTGTGTATTGTGTATTTTTGTTTCTTTTGTTTTATAGTTATGGGCATCAAAGTCAGGACCTCAATAAGCACTTTACCCAGAGAGGAGCTTGTCTAGGAGGGAGAAAAGAATCTTCAGCCCTAGTTCTGAATTTATAAACAAGGGAAAGCTCTTAGCTTGAGATTTATAAGCTCTGTAGTTTAGTTTTTGATTTTGTTTTGTTTTGTTTTGTTTTAATGTACTTGGTACAGGGTCTCACTGTGCAGCTTGGACTTGTAGTGATACTCCTGTTTTCAGCCTCCCTGGTGCTAGGATTACAGGCTTCTGCCACCGCTCGGGGTCTAGATGGCTGGCTCAGCATATGGTGCCAGGGATTGAACCCTGGTCCCTGCACTTGCCTGAGCAAGTGAGCTATCTCGCCAGTCCTTGAAGTTTGGATATTAAGAAAGAACAGGAAAACATTGACACTAACTGCTAGATATGCTTGTGGATTAACTGAATATTTATTATAATTGTAATTTCTTGCTGGTTACTTACAGTATATCTCTATTGTGGTCTTTTTTCTTTTCTTTTTTTTTTTTTTTTTTTGCTTTCATTTGGTTTAGTCTTTCTGAGGCAGGGTTTTATTATGCAGTTCAGTCTGGCTTTGAATTCACCTTTGTAGCCCTTGCTAGTCTGGAACTCCCAGTGATCTGAGTGCTTGGATCACAAGCATGCAGCACCACAGTGGGCCTTTCTCTTGTGTTTTATGTCGTGTTTTATGTGTTTGTGCCAGTTAAATATCTGTAGGTTTATTTTTTAAAATCTGCTCTTTCAGAATGAGTTAAACTTATATTCGGTCAATTTGAACTGTGTACCATGGTGACTGTCCTGACAGGAAAACTGTCAACCCAGAGGGCCAAGAAGTGATGTGTTCTGCCCAAAGTTGCAGAACTAATAATAAGTTGCAGAGCCAGGCTTTGAATCGCCTCTCTGATATCAGCACATTCTTTTTTAACTGCCCTTTTTCTTCAAAAAATGTAATTATTCTGTGCATATCATTGTTGGTCCAAATCTATAGGAAAATATCATCTTTTTAAAAGTAGGCAACTTGATGTATATTTTCTAGTAAGCGCTCTTCAGTATACTCCTGCCTCTGCCTGCAGGTGATCTAGGCATTGTCTGCGTAAGAGAAGTTACCTATCTTATTTCAAACCCTAGCTAGGACAGGAAGCCCTAAGCAGAAAGCCACACTGCTGTATGTGTCTGACACTCCCCACACATTGTGTTTTTTTACAGACCTCAACACCAAAAGGAAAAAGAAAGTGGCAGAGATATACCAGGCTCTGAACAGTGAGCCCACTGACGTGGCTGCCCTCAGACGCATGGCTATCAGTGAAGGAGGACTCCTGACCGATGAAATCAGACAAAAAGTGTGGCCCAAGCTCCTCAATGTCAGCACCAGTGACCCACCACCTGTACCAGGTACTGGGTGTGGGGTCCCAGGGAGGAGCTTGTCTAGGAGTCAGGGAAAAAAGAATTGTGGGATGATTGATTTTTAAAAATTTCTTTCTTTTCTGAGACAGGATCTCACTGCATAGTTCTAGCTATCTTTAAACTCACTCTGTAGCCCAGGCTGGCATGGAACTCACAGTGGTCCTCCTAGCTGGGCCTCCCAAGTGCTGGGATTACAGGTGTGCACCACCATGCCCAGCTTTGTGCCCATTTTAAACCAAAGATAGATAAATACATTGAATTCTAGAGCTCACTCTGAAAATAAGGCCTGATAACTGATAAGCAGAATTTTATTCACACCTGAAATGAGCTTTTATAAAAGCTTTTATAAATAGCTCAGCAGATTAAAGCACCTGCAAGCAGGCACAGGGGCCAGGAGTTCAATCCCCAGGCCTGTGGTGCCAGCCCCACCCCCAGGGCATGCTGAAAGGGCAGTTGAAACTGGGCATGGTGGTACATGCCTGTAATCCCAGCTCTTCGGAGGTTGTAAACAGGCAGATCACTAGGAATCCAATCTATTTTTTTTTCTTTTTTTTTTTTTCTTTTTTTTTGTTATACAAACTTGAAATATTTTAATACCTCCAGAAGTAGCATATAGGTAATAACAGCATAATTCAAAAGGAAAGAGAAGTTGCAATATGCTCCTGGGTGAACAATAAAGAGCTTTCAATAGGATAGCTATGCAGGACTATATAGTATATATTAAATGAACCCTTATTTAAGGGTCATTGAAGATTTCTATGAAACGGTACCAGTCTTATGTTGGGTTATACACCTATTTTTTTTTCATATATATGTGTGTGTATGTGTGTATAAAAAACAGGGAAGAAGTAATATAAAGTCAACAGAAAATGGAAATATACTTTTCAAAGTTTCTAATACTAGGAGAAGATATCATACGATCTTTTAAATAAATTCTAAGTCAAAGATATAGTATAAATCTTAGAACAAAAATTAAAATTAAGGGCTGGGGAGATGGCTCAGTGGAATAAGCACTTCCCTGGCAAGCACAAGGCCCTGAGTTCAATTCCCAGTTCCACCAAAAAAAAAAAAAAAAAATTAAGATTAAGCAATATTCAGAAAATTAAATACTAATTAATTTAAAATTAAATGTTTCAAAACAATTGAACTAAGGAAAAGTTTTCATGATAGCAAAGAAGTACTAAGAGTAAAACATAATAAGGTTTATCTTCCTTTCTACCCCATAGGGTGGAAGAGAAGTCCATTTGTAGTGTGCTGAAATATTTTGCTGCTGAACACAAAAGAATAACTGAAAGACTACTACTGTCTGCCTCTTATTCTCCTGTGTTTGTTTGCCCTATTTGGTGGGTTCTTTCCATTCTCACTCATGGGGCTGTGATCAATTTGCTCCCTCTAGAATGTCATTTAGTAGTCTGTCTAGGCTTGGCTTTGTCATCTTGAAATTCTTTAGTTGTTCTTTGTCATGGAAGTATTTCACTTCTCCATTATACTTGAAAGCGAGTTTTGCAGAGTATATCAGTCTGGGTTGGAATTTGTTTTCTTGCAAGACTGGAAGTACTTTGCTCCATGCTCTTCTTGACTTGATAGTTTGTGAAGAGAAATCTGCTGTTATTCTGATGGGTTTTCCTTTAAATGTTATGTTTCTTTTCTTTAGCACTTTTTAGTATACTATTCCTGTGCTGAATTTCTGGGATCTTGATTATTATGTCTGGATGTGGTTTTAATTGGGTTAATGTTATTTGGAGTTCTGTATGGTTCGGTTACCTGAATGTCAGATTGTTGCCCCATATTTGGGAAGTTTTCTGCTATTACTTCTGCCCATATTCTTTTTATATCATTTGTATTGACTGCTTCCTTCTCATTGATGCCTGTTAGTCTCACATTGTACATCTTTGCATCGTCTTGCAGGTACTGAATTACTTTTTCCTGCATCCTAATTGTTTTAAGAGATCTTTTCTTTTTCACTAGCTGCAATGGTGTCTTTAAAGTCAGAAAGTCTATTTTCACTTTCACTCAAACGATTTTGCCAGCTTGTGATTGAGGTTTTAATTTCCTGTATATCACTTTGAATCTGTTTCATACATTCTATTTCTTTCCTAAATTGCTTATTTTTTTTATCAGTATATTCTTTTGAAACACTTAGTACTTCTTTGATTATAGTAATCACTACATTTTTTAGTTCCGAAATTATTTCTGATCTGATTTCTTCTCTACCTTTGTGCAGTTGTTTCTTTACTTCCAACGCTGTTGTTTTAGCGATATCTGGTGTGTGATTTCCAGTTTCCTCTATGCTAGTGTCTTCTGCATTTGTACTGGGTGGACTCGGGGCCTGAGACTGAATTCTGTTCCTTCTCTTTGTCATTTTGTATACCACTGTCTTCTGACCTTTGGCGTAGAGCTTAGATAGAGTTATTACCTTACCACCAGGTCCAGATCTACAAAGTTCAGATTCCTCTGGGTGGGTGTTGCTTGGATCTGGCTGGGATCTGGCTGCTGTGCTCCACTTCTTCCTGCTGCAGCTGTTGCAGTTGAACCCTTTGTGTCACTCTGGCAAGATGTTCTGCTCCTGAATCAGCTGGGTGGGTCTTGCCTCTAGCCTCTTTGCAGGGAGTTCTGCTGAAGGATTCCACACTGGGCCTGCACTCTGAGTCGAATGAGGATCCAGTGGACCCCAGGCGGTCTTGGATAAGACCGGGCCTGCGCTGTGGGTTGAGTCAGGATCCGCGGCCCTGGGTCATCTCACACTCTGGACGTGCACTCTGGATATATTTGGGATCTAGCGGTCCCAGGCAGTCTCACTTACACACCCGGCCTGCCGGGCCTGCATTCTGGGTCTATTCAGCATCTGGTTGCACTGGGTCCTCTCACACACCGGGCCTGTGCTCTGGTAGGAGTCCAATCTAGTAATGAAAGCCTGAATACCCTGTAGACCCTTCCCTGATAATAATAATAATAATAATAATAATAATAATAATAATAATAATAATAATAATAATAATAATAATATAAAATACTGGCTAGGAAAGAAAGTGTTAGGAATGCCTTTTCTGGTTCAGATTCTACTCTATTGGAAGTGTGTTGTAGGAATCTGTATTTTATTTTTTTTTTATTATTATTATTTTTTTAATATTTATTTACGTTTATTTATTACATTTATTTATTGTGTGTGTGTGGCCAGCTCAGCCCACCAGGGGGCGGGGCTGGCTGGCATGTGGTGCTGGAGGATTGAACCACAGTCTCTGATGCTTTGCCAAGCTTGTTTCAAGTAGGTGCTTTAGACCACTGAGCCATCTCTCCAGCCCAGGAATCTGTATTTTAATAAGCACCTCAGCTGATTCTTACACAGAGGGACTACATTTTGCAAAATGAACACTTTTGGGTTGGGGAGATAGCTCAGTAGAATAAGTGCTTACCTGGCAAGTGCAAGGTCCTGAGTTCAATCTCCGGTACCGGAAGAAAAAAAAAAAACTTTTTGTTGGGAAATATTATTGGAGTTCCAGAATTCAGTATTTGCTGGGCACAGTGGAGCATGCCTGCAATCCCAGCAGCTCAGGAAGCTGAGGCAGGAGAACCATCATGAATTTGAGGCCAGCCTGGACAACTTCGTTGCAAGACTATCTTGAAAAAATTTCTAAATTCTCTAATTGTACAGAAAGCTGTTATGAAAATAATTTGCAGAGTCATGTAGAGAAAGGAATTCCTGAAATGCAGTTAAAAATACAAAAACATTACAGTGGGACTGTGAGTGCATTTTGCTGTCCGTCTGCTCCATTCATTGACTTTATTGCTTTGATGCTGTTTTGGCAAAAGGCCAGATGCTGGGGCTGTTTTCCTCTCATTTGGCAGATGTTAGCTGTACTACTATTGTGTGCCAGGCTCAGAAGATGATGACTCTGCCCAAAAAAGCTCACAGTGCAGTGGCACTGCCAAGGAGGCACTGAGTCACCACTCTTCTCTGGAGCGGCTGGCACTCCATTGGAGGGCAAATGCATTGCCATCTTTACTTTGCTATCAGATCCCACACTTCTTGGTTCTCCTATTGAGATGAAGTCTGTATGTAAGGAAGAATTGTACAGGCTTCTTTGCGAGCTGCCGGCCTGGGTTGTAAGGAAAATGGACCCTTCTTTGATAGTCCTTGATTTGGGTTGAGGAAAATGTACACCTACACATAGCAAGAGACAGCCTCCTTACTTTTATATTGTATCCAGCTTATGCCCTGATCACAAGGTCTGTCTCTTGTCAATGGCATCATAATTTTATAATTTTAAGGATAAGAAATATCAAAATTATGCTGGGCGTGGTGGTGCACACCTGTAGTCCCAGGTCTTGGGAAGCTGAAGCAGGAAAACTGCTTAAGAGTTCAAGGCCAGCCTGAACTGTATAGCAACACACTATGCAAAAAGGGGGAAAAAATTGTGTGTGTGAAGGATGTAGTAGGAATTAAAACCAAAGACACCCTGCCACTGAGCTACATCCCAGCTTTTTTTCTTTTTTCTTATTTTTTTCAGACAGTGTTTCAGTAAGTTGCCTAGGTGATACACTTGTGATCCTCCTGTTTCAATGCTGGTATCATAGGCATGCAAACAATACCTGGCTAGATTTTCCTTTATCTGACTTTACTCCTTTCCAGCAGCTCAGTGCTCCTGTAGTGGTACAGAAGGTAGAGTGTCACAGTGGTTTCCATAGCCATGATTTTATGCAGTCATTGTGGTGATCTGAGAAGTACAGAGGGAAAGGATTATCCTCACTTCTAATATGGGCAGGACCCCAGTTATGTACAGGGCAGCCTCTACAGGCACAGGCCTCCTGACTTCTCTGCTGCTCTCTACCCACCGTACTGGCCACCTGCCCAGCCTGTGTCCCTCTTCTACCATCTTCTTTTGAATGTTTTTGTTTGTTCGTTGTTTGTTTGTTTTTGCAGAACTGAGAATTGAACTCAGACCCTTGCACTTGCCAGGCAAGTACTTATTCTACTGAGCCATCTCCCTGGCCCCTGTACCATCTTCTTGACTTGTATGAAATACCATGTGTTTTGAACTAAAATAGGGATTTCTTTAACAAATGTGTCTTGAGTCATAGCCTCTTCAAGATTAAGGTAAAGAGACCAGGAAAAGCAAAGGCTGCCAACAGGAAGCCAAAAAACCATCTCCTAATTAACTGTGCAGGCTCCTGTGATTGACAGAATGAAAGAAGAAGTTGCAGTCTGAAAATTAAAACTTGTGCAGGTATCATTGGGTCTATGTGATCATTCACCTTAGGTAGTCACCTTAGGTAGGCCTCCTGCTACTTCAGACATGTTCTGTAGATTCGATCCAAGTGAATGCAACAGTGGGTGAGCCCGTCACGATACTGGGCACCCACTCAGTGTCTGGATTGTTATTCTCATCCATACACTGGGACCAAGGGAACCCTCCCTATTATCAATGCCAATACACTTATTAAGTGAGGTGGCTACTGGATCACCTATCAAAAGGAAAGGCATCATCAGCTAAATGGGAGAATTAGTCAGGGAGATGTGTCCTTGACCATTGAGAATGTAAGGATGGGTGACAGTGGCCACTACGATTGCAGTGCTGAAGTCCTGGGATTGTTCAGTCTTACAACACTGGGCCAGCCAGGACCACAACAGTTCCAGTATCACCTGTGTCTGTACGTCCACTCTGCCAACACCAGCACACAGAGCCACAGAACAGCCAGGACCACAAGTGTTCCAGCCCATGTCTCTACTGCTCCTCCAGCACCAGCACACAGAGAGCCACAGAATAGAAAATACTCCAACTGTTCCAAGTAAAACAGTAGAAACTTGGCCTGTCTCCTGCTTGCTCAACTCTCCAACAGATGGGAATGGCATGATGACACAGTCTTGAGATGGCCCTGGGCATAACAATCAAAGTGCATTTCCAGCACGAAACCCATCAGTGATCACTGACAAGAGTGTATATCAGAATCCTTGTTTGTAGCTTGGTTTGCTCATTATTTTGGTTGTCACCATTATCAAAAAGTATTTTGTCAACAGAAAGAGGATGTGGACACCAAGCAAGGTTTTGGCCATTTGTACTCAAATTGAAGCTGTGCAACTGCACAGCCCAACAGAAAACAAAATTTGTGTCATCAAGGCTAAACTTTGAGTCACATGTGGAGGCCCAGCAGTACTCTGCCCATGACTGCAAAAGGCAGATTTGTACTCAAATTGAAGCTGTGCAACTGCACAGCCCAACAGAAAACAAAATTTGTGTCATCAAGGCTAAACTTTGAGTCACATGTGGAGGCCCAGCAGTACTCTGCCCATGACTGCAAAAGGCAGTGACCAGACATCATCATGTTAAATGCATTTTCAACACCAGGACCATTTTTCTATACCAGTTTTATCTGTTCTAACAAATCGATGTTACTGGGAAGAATGACTCTCGTGGTCAAAGCCATCTGTGGTCAGATTCATTGCTAACTCAGCCCTGACTTTTTTATGCTAAAACCAGCTCATTCTTTCCAGGCCCTGCAGAGGCCTGTCACAAATATGTCAGAGTTTGTCTTTTCTTTAGACTCCATTATCCTGTTCATCAAAGACAGAACCACTGATAATACAGCAGATGAATACACCACAACTATCAAGAGCAGTAGGATTTAAAAATCAAAATATCAGGCCGGGGAGATAGGTCAATAGAATAAGCACTTGCCTGGCAAGCGCGGGGTCCTGAGTTCAGTCCTTGGTACCACCAAAAAAAAAAAAAAAAAAATCAAAATAACTAATTTGAGACTTCATTTGGAAGTGTTTCATGATTGCCTCTGGCTTTTATGTTGTAATTCTAAATGGAACATTTTGGATATTCCCTAAGTTAGTTTATTTAGTACAGAGTCTACGTTGTGTCAATATACAGATTAGATTCAGTGATCCTTCTGTTTTCAGCCTCCCAAGCCCTGGGATTACAGGAGTGTGCCACCATGCCAAGTCTCAGTTTGCATCTCAGCACACCCCAAGGCAGAGCCAGCACAGCTTGTGGTGCCAGGGATCAAACCACAGTCTCTGCATGTGCCTAAGCAGGCACTTTAATCCGTTGAGCTATCTGGCTGGCCCTGTTCCCTAAGTTCAAATCATGTGAGTGTGCTTGTTTTATGTCTCTTACAAGGAAACAGAAATGAGTCCACCTGTGTCACTGTAGGTCATGAGTCCACCTGATCGCAGGATCCCGACAGCTAACTCAGCTGTCAGATGAAGTTGTAGTATTGACTGGGAACCAAGTAGGCTCCTGGGAAAGACAGTCACTTGCCACCTGGCTCATCCTGTTTGTGCTGTATGTGGTCCTCCCCCTGTACCGTGCTGCTGTGTCTGTGGGCAACTGCCAGCCTCTCTGAATTAAGTTTTAGAATTAGGCTGGGCAGAAATGAATGGGGAGGGGGACTTAGAAAAAAAAATTCTACCTTAAAGGAGTTCTGCTACATGTATAATAGTATGTAAAATTGTTGTCAGCAGTTTTGCTCAATAGTCTAAATTTCTAAATTATGCCCAGGAAACTTTTAGGTTTATTTATTT